CCCCTTTTCCTCCAACTAATTGAAGTAGAGGGCAGAAAACCAACTTTTCTCTGCCAGCCAATCTCTGAACTGGGCAGGTTTCAGAACCAAGAAGTTAAAGTCTTTAGGCTGATGAGATTTGCTTCTGAAGAAAGTCTTTTCCAGAGAAGCAGCTGCTCTTGATGGGAAAACTGCATTCATTTCCTTTTTATGACACATGGCAGAAGAAATAGCCTGGGAAATATGTAGGCCACAGTAGTCTAAACCAGGGATCTCACTACATCAGGGTTACCATAAGGGTAGAAGGAAATGACTTCATTTATAATCCCTAATAGTTGTGTCTTTAACTGAACCATCTGATACACACACACACACACACACACACACACACACACTTTTTTAAATAAAATGAGAAATAGCATGAACTTTTTATTAAAGAATAAAGTAATAAATTTTAATAATACACCAGGTGTGTGAGCTGTACATTTATTTATTTTAATCAGCTAAAATAAGAATGTGGCTTTATGACAGTTCTCCAGGATTGTGACTTGATGTCATCTGTCAGACTGGGACACCTGCTTTGAATCTGGTTTTTAGAGAACACAGTTAATTCCCAAGTGGGCTCTTAAGTTAATTTGTTTCTGCTGAGGAAAGTGGGAAGCCTTGTTTGATTACTGCATTAGCCAAAAGAATCAGTGTACCCTGAAAAGCAAGGCAGACGAAAGAATCACGGCCTATTCCGGATATTCTTTTGTCTAAAATTAAGGCGGGAAATACATGCTCATCTTGCACCTGCCTAGGAAGTAATTTTAGTTCACTGGGACAGCCCAAGATCTTGAAAACAGACTTCTTTTCATGTGCACATATGGGTTTGTAAGATTGTAAATCTCATTCTGTTTCATTTGCAGATCCTAAGGTGATTTGAACCAAATTTCCTTAGTTACTAAAAGTCAGTACTAACTAACATATTAAAATCTGGGTCTTCTGAATCTCAAACCATTCTCAACCACAAATCTCATAAAATTATTAACAGACACTATTAAGGTACTAAGGATCAAAGATATCACTTCTTTTTTAAATTTTTTAAAATACTTCTTTTAGTTGTAGATAAACACAATACCTTTATTTAGTTTTATGTGGTGCTGAGGATTGAACCCACTGCCTCACACTCTAGGCAAGCACTCTGCCACTGAGCCACAACCCCAGCCCCCATAGATATCACTTCTTACTCACAAGTAGCTTGCAGAGGACATGCTGTGTTGCAGTAATTCACTTGCAGGTCAGCATGGGAAAAGAAAGAAGAAGCAGAGCAAGCGAAGTAGCAGCAGAAAAAAAGTCCTTTATTGTATACAAGCAATCTTTTTATAGTATTGTGAACAAAGAAGGCAGCCTTCCAACATCAATAAATCAGGTCTTTCAGCTAATTAAACATAGCATACAGAAGTTTTACTTTCTAATCAGAAGTGACCCACTTCTCATGGCTAATCTATTTTTGGCCCGGAGTATATTGAGCTCTGCTCTTTGTTAAGAACAG